TTTCTGTGCATTTGGCAACTAAGTGAGAAACCTATCAATACTTATTATACCAAAGTCAACCCCTGAGACAAATAGTATATTTAATACAATAAAAATACTTTCTAAACACAATCTTTTATTTTAAAATTCTAGCTTGTTAAATATTAATCAATAAGTGTCCTGGTAATTAGACCAACAAATACTTTGTTACAGGTGCAAGTGTAATTCATTAACCAAAAAAAAGTATAATTAAGTTATGCACTGACAAGTATAGAATTAAAATACATTAGTTTTATTTTGATTTAATTATTCAGAATAATTAGAGCCAAACATTTCATTTTCTATAGATTTATATTTTGCTCTCTACTCAATAAACGTAATAGATTCTATACAATTGATCATAACATATACAAAGATTCCTAATGCCTCCAGTTACTTCTGAAAAATTTAAAAATACACCTACTTGCTTCTAGTAGTCACTAAGACTTTAGTTCTGTTCCTTGAATTACATTCCGAATCTTCTCAGCATCATTTTGCATAATTTTGTTGGATGGATCGATCTTAAGTGCAGCTTCATAATCCTGTAGGCCTACATTTATACAGCAATTATGATCAATAAAATCAGTATTTTATAAGTACTTATCTAGACTGTATATATACATATATACACTATATTTTTTTTAATTTTTTTTTTTTTTTGAGACAGAGTCTCACTTTATCGCCCTGGGTAGAGTACCATGGCGTCACATAGCTCACAGCAACCTCCAACTCCTGAGCTCAGGCGATTCTCTTGCCTCAGCCTCCTGAGTAGCTGGGACCACAGACGCCCATCACAATACCCGGCTATTTTTCCGCTGCAATTTGGCCAGGGCCGGGTTTGAAACCGCCACCCTTAGTATATGAGGCTGGCGCCCTACCCAATGAACCACAGGCACCACCCTGAATTTTTCATTTTCTTTTGGAGGCAGAGTCTCTCTCACTCTGTTGCCCCAGGCCAAAGTGACAAGTATAGCTCACAGCAACCTGAAACTCCTTAGCTCAAGCAATCCTCTTGTCTCAGCCTCCCAAATACAGGGACTACAGGTGCCTACCAAACACCTGATTTTTAGTAGAGACAAGGTCTCACTCTTGCTCAGACTGGTCTCTTACTCGGGAACTCAAGCAATACACCCCCCTAGCCTCTCAGAATGCTAGGATTACAGGGGCAAGCTACATTACCCAGCCTGAATTACTCACTTTCTTTTTGAAATTGAGTCCTGAGAAACTTCATGTTTTCTAAATGTCTTTTTAATTTTTAATTGGAGTAAGATATACATAACATAACATTTACCATTTATTATTACCAATGATTACACTTGTAAGTGCAGGGTTCAGTAGTGTTAAGGACATTGCATTGTTGTGCAACCAATCTCCAGAACTCTTTTCATCTTGCAAAACTCAAACTCTTTGCCAGGTGTGGTGGCTCATGCCTGTAATCCTAGCACTCTGGGGCTGGCGCAGTGGCTCATAACTGTAAACTTAGCACTCTGAGAGGCTGAGGTGGGCGAATTGCCTGAGTTCACAAGTTCCAGACCAGCCTGAGCAAGAGCAAGACCCCATTTCTAAAAATAGCCAGGCTATGGTTGGTGCTGGTAGTCCCAGCTACTCCGGAGGCTAAGGCAACAGGATCGCTTGAGCCCAAGAGTTTGATGTTGCTGTGAGCTATGACTTCACGGCACCAACGGCAACAAAAGTGTAACTGTCTCAAAAAAAAAACCCAAATTGGGCAGTGCCTGTGGCTCAAAGGAGTAGGGCGCCAGCCCCATATGCAGGAGGTGGCGGGTTCAAACCCAGCCCCAGCCAAAAACTGGAAAAAAAAAAACCCAAACACCCAAATTCCTAGCATTCTGGGAGGCCAAGGTCGGTGAACTTGAGTTCACAAGTTTGAGACCAGCCTAAGCAAGAGCAAGATCCCAGCTCTAAAAATAAATAAATAAATAGGCATTGTGGCAGGCACTTATAATGCCAGCTACTAGGAAGGCTGAAGCAAGCAGATCTCTTGAACCCAAGAGCAGCTGTTCTCAACCTGTGGGTTGCAACCCCTTTATAACAATGAAAATACATCCTGCATAGCAGATATTTACATTACCAGTCATAACAGTAGCAAAATTACAGTTATGAAGTAGCAACAAAAATAACTTTATGGTTGGGGGTAACCACAACATGAGGAACTATATTAAAGGGTTATGGCATTAGGAAGCGTTTAGGAAGGTTGAGAACCACTGCCCAAGAGTTTGAAGTTGCTGTCAACTACAACACCATGGCACTCTACCAGGGACAAGAAAGTAAGAATCCATCTTAAAAAAAAAAAAAAAGTGAAACTCTATGTCCATTAAACAACTCCCCACTCTTCTCCTTACCCTAGCCCTTGACAACAAACATTCCATTTTATTTCTGTGTGAATTTCACTACTCTAAGTCCTTCGTATTATATGGTATTTGTCTTTTTGTGACTGGCTTATTTCATTTAGCATAATGACCTTAAGGTTCGTACATTTTGTAGCATATGTCAGAAATTCCTTTCTTTTTAAGCCTGTGTAACATTCCACCAAAAGTTATACAATATAACAGAAGCGAGACAACATTTTGTTTATCCATTCATCTATCAATGGACACTCAGGTTGCTTCTACCTTTCGGCTATGTGAATAATGCTGCTATGAGTGTGAATGTGCAAAGACCGCTTCAAGACCCTATTTCCAATGCTTTTGGTTATAGTATAGTCAGAAATGGAATTGCTAGACCAGATGAAAGTACTATTTTTAATCTTTTTTTTTTTTTGAGACAGAGTTGTACTTTGTCGCCCTTGGTAGAGTGCTGTGGCATCACAGTTCAAAGCAAACTCCAACTCTTGGGCTTAAGCCATTTTCTTGCCTCAGCCTCCTGAGTAGCTGGGACTACAGGTGACTGCCACAATGCCTGGCTTTTTCCTGGGGGAGGGGGGGCTGGGGCAGGGTTTGAACCCACTACCTCCATTATATGGGGCCAGCATCCTACTCCTTTGAGCCACAAGCGCCACCCTCGCCCAGCTTTTTTTGTTGTTGCAGTTGTCACTGCTGTTTTAGCTGGCTGGAACCTGGTTCAAACCTGCCACCCTCAGTATATGAGGCCAGAGCCCTACCCACTGAGCCATGGGCGCAGCCCTATTTTTAACCTTTTGAGAAACTACCACAACAGTTTTCCAGAGCAGCTGCACCATTTTACAATGCCATCAACTGTCCTCAAATGTTGCAATTTCTCCATATTCTCACCAACACATATTTTGTTTTTATGATTATAGCCATCTTAATGGGTACGAAGCAGTACAAGTCTTTTTGAGAGATGTAGTTTGAGGCAGAATTGTTTGAGTCTAGGAGTATGAGACCAGATTGAGCAACATGGCAAGACTCCTATCTCTACAAAGGATGGTGGCGTGGGGGCCGGGCATATGGCTCATGCCTGCAATCCTAGCACTCTGGGAGTCCAGGCAGGTGGATTGCCTAAGTTCATGAGTTCAAGACCACTCTAAGCCAGAGCGAGACCCCATCTCTAAAAATAGCCAGGCCCCCATCTCTAAAATGTTGTGGCAGGCACCTGTAGCCCCAGCTACTTGGGAGGCTGAGGCAAGAGAATCATTTAAGCCCAAGAGTTTGAGGTTGCTGTGGGCTATGATGCCACAGTACTCTACTGAGGGTAACAAAGTAAGACTCTGTCTAAAAAAAAAAAAGGGGTGGTCCCCATAACTCAGTGGTTAGGGTGCTGGCCACATATACCCAGGCTGGCAGGTTCAAACCCAGCCTGGGCCAGTTAAACAACAATGACAACTTCAACAACAATAAAAAAATAGCTATGCATTGTGGTGAGTGCCTATAGTCCCAGCTACTTGGGAAGCTGAGGCAAGAGAATCACTTAAGCCCAAGAGTTGGAGGATGCTGTGAGCTGTGACGCCATGGCACCCTACTGAGGGTGACATAGTAAGACTATGTCTAAAAAGGAAAGAAAGAAAGAAAGGGATGGTGGCGTGCACTTATAGTGCCAGCTACTTGGGAGGCTGAAACGGGAGGCTGGCTTGAGCCTGAGAGTTCATGGCTACCGTGAGCTATGATCACACTGCTACTCCAGCCTCTGCAACAAAGTGAGACACATCCTTTCCTGAGAGAAAATATCAGCAAATATCTTTTCTTTCTTTTGGGGGGTCAGGGATGGATCTCACTCTATTATCCACTGCTTGCTTTTGTATGATCTTATTGGTGTTTTCCAAAGATCAAAAGTTCTT